GGCTACGGGCTGGACGTGAGGAGCCGGGATAGCGCAGTCGGTATAGCGACTGGCTACGGGCTGGACGTGAGGAGCCGGGATAGCGCAGTCGGTATAGCGACTGGCTACGGGCTGGACGTGAGGAGCCAGGATAGCGCAGTCGGTATAGCGACTGACTTCGGGCTGGACTTGAGGAGCCGGGATAGCTCAGTCTGTATAGCAACTGGCCACGGGCTGGACGTGAGGAGCCGGGATAGCACAGTCGGTATAGTGACTGGCTATGGGCTGAACGACCGAGGGGTTGGACTTTGAGTCCCGGTAGGGTCAAGAATTTTCTCTTCTCCACATTGTTCAGACTGGCTCTGGAGTCCACCCAACCTCCTATTCAATGGCTACTGGGGATAAAGTGGCCCGGGCATGAAGCTGACCACTCACCTCCAACTAGTGCCAAGGTGAAGAAAATGTGAATCTATACATCCACGTGGGGCACATGGTAGCATAGTTGGTTGAAGCACTATGCTACAACTCAAAAGGTCACGGGATCGAATCCCGATGAGATTGATTTTTTCAATTGACCCAATCCTTCCAGCTGAACTATGGCGCTGGGGTCGACTCAGCCTCTAACAGAAATGAGTACCAAGAATTTTCCTGAGGGGTAAAGTGCAGCCCACGCGTAAGGCTGACAACCTCACGGCCCTCTGTGAGCCGATTGTCTAGAGAAAGTGTGGGAACCTCGTCGTCTAACAACCCTATGGGCCTTCATGACTTGTTACTGAGATAGCTTACCTTTTCTTTTCCATACATCCACATACCCATATGCCTTCATGGCGTTGTGTTTAATTAGTTAAGCACAGGAAAAACTTTACCTTTTACGTTTACCTTAGAATAAGGCTTCCTTTCACACCCTTTTAAAATCGTCATTATAATGTATTTGAGATTACAGGTTATTATAGCAGTAACCGTGGAAACAGTTATCTTCAGTCAGCCAGTTATTTATGCAGTTTGGCATATGAACTTCAGTAGGTGTTCTTAAATGAGTCAAGAAATACTATTAATCAAACGCCATGTGACAACTTCTGGTGTGAATTCTGTGTATTGAATTTTACCAGAAACTTGGGTAATAATTTATGTGTCTGTAGTAATATTTTTTGGTCTTCTTAAAAATGTAGAAATTATAGAAAAATGTAAAAATAATAATATTCTCATTAATCATCAAATTGTCTTGGTTAATTAGATAAGTAAAGAGATTTAAATGTTTGTTCTCCATTCTGTCAATTAGTTGAAAGATTTCATTTATAGGGAAATCGGGCATGTATAAGGATATAACAGAATTTACATCTTCATTGTTGGGAACATAAGTACAGTAATATAAATGAAATTTTTTTAAATTTTTTAAATTTTTATTCCTTTACACCTGGAGAAGGAGCCACTGGTTCTTATTGGACAGGTGGCTGGATATGCCCCAGGGGAGATCTAGAAATGGTAGTGTTGAGTGGCTCTGGATTCAAACCCATACTGTTCAGTCCATTTCCAGTCTGGCTCTTAAAATTAAGATAAATCGACAATTATTTTGCTGTTTTGCATGGTTGTAAAAGAACACAACTATGAGTGAGGTTTGTATGCTGATCACAGAGATGATAGAGTGCAGAAAACTTTCTGTTGCTGGAAAACATGGACAAACAACTCACCCTGGCAGCTTGGATCTGCCGTGCTATTCCATGAGCGAGCTCGGCACCTTATCACAGCCAGGTGTATTTGTGATGGTGGCACTGCATATCCTGGGTCACAGTCATACCGGCATACACTTCCCTCATCAAGCAGATCACCAATGCTACTGATGTCTGAACCTTCTCCACTGCCAGGGGTCTTGCAGCTCAAACGGCCATGTTCTGGACTCATGGGTAATGGACAACCTTTCACAGCTGTAAACAGTGAGGGGATTATATGAACACAGTGATCTGTGTGCAGAACTTTGTCTCATCTCTGTAAATGGGTGCTGCAATAGCAGTAAGACTGAGTTTTTTTTTCTTTCCCACAGAAAGAAAGGTAATGTACTCAGTTATGATGTAGAGGTGGGTGGGTGCTACTTCATACATTATCAAAATCAAAGTCTTAAACTACTGATGGCAATTATTACTTTTGGGATACAAGTTAAGGTTACAATTAGAAAAAAAAACGAAATATATTCAGTTTGAATAATAGAATTCAGAATAACAGACTTAATTGGATTCTTCATGTTGAAAGAAATCAAAACAGCTGATGGACTATACACCCAGAGGAACAAGAGCAGTTGGATGTCCTAAGTTATGCTGGAAGGAACAACCTGTCTTATAAGGGAATGGAATGGCTCAAAAGGTTCAAACCTTCATTTTGATAATGGTGATCATGATGACAAGTGAACAATATTGTGAGATGATTTCTGAAAACTGGAACATTGCAGCCAGAGTGGACGTACATTGCTGAGCAACGATTTGGTAACCACGTTCCCACTGCAACGGATACACTGGTCAAAGTGTTGCCATGAATTGACACATTTCTGTGGCAATGAATATTAACAAAGACATTCCCGTGACAAAGGGAGAATAACAACTGTTCAAGATGGTACTCTCTTGTCGGTTTGTCCGAAGTTATAGAAGTGAGTTCTTTCTTTATTCAGACAGGAGTCAGTGTGTGAGCTGTTATAATTGGTTGTAATCATAAAGAAGTGCCAATAAAACCAATCATCTAATCCAGAATCCATTATTATTAGACATGCAAACCCCAAATACATGACAGTGTATAGTAGTAAATAAGAAATTAATGCACATTGATAACTGTCTTAAGATGTTTATTATTTTTATAGGTCATGGGGAAGTAATAGAGCTCCAGAAGTACCACTTATAACTTACCATTGCCTTGCAGTATGCTTCATACATGTATAAGTATTCTAGTTCCCACCAATCCATTATTTCTGCACTTGAGTGATATTCAGTAATCTGTAATACCTCACCTATACAGCGTGGCAGCGGGTTGGTCCATTTGAGCTTGTCTCCGCACTCGGTGACTTCGTGTCCCAGAAGTCTGTAACCTTGGCTGCAGGTTAGCTGACATCGAGACCCCCATGCATTGTTCAGTGAGCACTGCCCATGAGCATGTTCAGGAAGGTGCAATGGTGGGCACTTCTGAACTACAGAAATAGAAAAGGAAAAGTTGTTTTTGATACCACATCAGTGCAATGTGGCCTGTGTATGTCCTTAGGATTCCTTGAATATGATCATTTGATTTTAATTGTGTTTTGACAAACTCATTATACTACATTATTTGTGGAATTTTATCCCTCTTACATCTGATTTTCCAACAGTATAATCAATGGAAATAATTTGTATTAAAGAAAATGTTGGTGTAATATTTGAAAGTCATAAAAAATAATGAACAGTTAGTAAGCAGTTACTAAAATATGAACCTATACAAATATTTGTCATCTTCACAATTGTATGCTATTATCAGGTTTACTTAAAATGTAGGTAATGGTGTTAGAGAAGATGAGAGTTTATCTAACAGCTTATTTTAAATAAAAAGTATACTAATATAAATAAAGGAATGAGACTATTTACCATCTTTTTGCCTTTAGGCAAGATATTTTTCTTAGTTATGCAAGTTCAGAAGTAGGGAAGCAGGCTACAGTAAGGGCATACTCTGTTATGTTCCCGTAAACAATGCCTGTCTTTTCCGTATTGTAGTCAAACAGGCTCTGTATTAGTATGCTTCTATGTATCCTATTCTGTAATAGGAAAGTGGGGTGTAGTAGGGCCATTCTGTGTTATATTGCGGGGTCATAAATACTGACTGTGCTTTCCATATTTTAGTCAAACATATCAAGTGTGAGTGAGTATGCTTTCACCTTCCCTGTGCTGTAAATTGGAGGCAGTACTGTTAGAGCAAACCTGTGTTCAAAATACATAGCTAACATGCTGTAAAATATGTGTTATTTCAGAGATGTGAGAAGTCACTATTTGCCCCATCGCACTGAATTTTGACTAGAATGGGTGGATGCACACAAGTAGTGTACAGTAACATAAATTTAAGATCTGAAGCTGTCAAGATGACTAAAGTTGATAAAATCTTCTTGAGTTTTCACCTATGTCGGTTGGTTAATAATTGCAGATATTTCATGGACCATGTCTGCCTCCATCATCAGGGTCTGACCTCAGAGATGATCTGTCAATTCCAGTAATTTTTTATCAACTGACATGGCTGATAGCCTTGAAGATTTTATCAGCATATAAAATAAGAGGTAAAGCTCTCTATGCAGTCTTTAACTTGACACTATTTTTTATTGCTAGTGGGGTGGGACTAAGTCCCTTTTACTGCAGCCACTTCTGGCGTATAGTACCAGCTCCAGATGATAGGTGAGGGTGATTGTGGAGCAATTGGTGGAATGAAGATTGGCAGGGGAAACCGAAGTACTCGGTGAAAACCTGCCCCAGCGCCACTTTGTCCACCACAAATCGAACTTGATCAGACCTGGGATTGAACCCCGGCCACCTCAGTGGGAAGCCAGCAACTAACCGCTTGAGCTATGGCGCAGCCTAACTTGGCACTAGGTAGAGGTGAATTATCAGCTCCATGTTGGGACAACTACTTTACCTCAAGAAGAAGAACCCCAGATATCCACTGGGTAGGAGGCTGGGTGGGCCCCAGAGCCAGTTTGGGCATGATGATGAATAGAGAAATCATGTGCCTGCTGGGAATCAAAATGCAGTCATCCAGTTGCTATCCATCCTCACTTTATTGACTGAGTAAGAGTTTGTGAGTGTAATACTAAAGATTCTTCTTGTACTGGTCAAATTGGTTTTGTGGAATTGTCAGTGGGAGAGGACAGTTGGCAAGATGGCGCCTTAGCCATACCAAGGCAGATGCTGTATTTTGGCAAAGTCTGCCCTATAACAGTCTGTCATGCATGTTGCAAGTGCAGGATGTGAAATGTGCGCTACCTTGTGAAGGTCAAGTTTGATCATGAGGGAAACCAACATTACAATGAGCTGGATTCATGCTGTATATTACCATGGCTCCAAACAGAGTTTCATACATGTGTGAATTTACTCTGGTTACAGCACCAGACATTCTGAGGGAGAGCAGTGTTAACATAATTGGCATTGATAACCATGACAGTTATTGTGTCACAAAATTGTGTCAGAAAGTGTGAAATGTCAGTATGTTCATCTGAATCTCGTTCACTAGCATTCTTGATGGCAGCAATATCTAATACAAGCAATCAAGGATTATTATTGACTGCCTATTCTCTCTACATCTCATAGGACAAACTTCAAAATGAAGATACATATTCCTAATATCTTTTAAATTGTTGCATTATTGACGGATGCTTTGATAATAAGGAAAGGTTAGTCACTGGCTTCCCGCTGCGGCTGTCCAGGTTCGATCCCGGATCTGGTAAAGTGGGATTTGTGTTGGACAAAGTGGCGCTGGGGCGGGTTTTCTATGAGTATTTCGGTTTCCCCTGCCAATCTTCATTCCACCAAATTCTCCATCATCATAATCACCCGGGGCAGGCTACAATAGGCCAAGCAGTGGCATCTGTGCCGAGTGGACCCAGTTGCACTCCACCCCCCACTAAGTGAATTGATAATAAGGATGATGCCTCAATGCAACAGGATGCTAAAATATAACACAAATGTAATGAAATCTTCAGAATATAAGCTTTACGTTCATTCTACAGCACTAGAATTCACATACACAAGCTAAGTAGCCCCTCTCTTATGCAAAAAGACATGTTCTGTGAAACTTGTAATTTTAAACTTTCCTGACAGTGCTAACTGCAGCGTTTTGTTCTTTAGTAGTGAGGTCAGAAATTTGGCAAATATTAATAGTTATTTTGAAAGCACTCTTCAGCCTGTTTTCTCTTTTGCCACAATAAAAAAGTGTAGTTCCAGAATGTAAGCCACAGCCTATCTGATTTCAGTGATGTCTATACAGTTCCGGCAGAGATTTGTTCTGTTTTACCATTTAAATTATTACACCTGTTTCTGAAGCAGAAATTTTAACAGGAAAGTAGCCTCACCTGTCACATGGTAGCGATACTTGCACATTGCAAGCTGCTCTCTGTTGTGAATAAGACGTATTATCATATTATAGCTTCCCTCTCCAACAGTTGTTCCAGGCCATGGGCCAAACAATGATTCTACTCGCACTTCAGATAACTTGGCCCTGAAAAGTACATTTAACTCATTATCATGACAGTTACTGCTGGGGTCACTGTGTGGCAAAGTCTTCTCCGTTCTTCTTTAAACTTCCCTCTTGTATGGGTGTCCATTCCACTATAGGCCTTTCTGTATTTCTTTCCTGACTCTGTCTCTTGAGCTAATCATTTGTCTCTGGTTGCTTATTTGACCGATTCGTTTTTTATACTCTCAAAATAATCCTGCTGTTAGCCATGCCATATTACTCTATCTTTAATTTCATCAGCTTTCTTTGTAATATTTTGTACTTTTAGATTTTATGCACTCTCCTTGTTCTGGACAGAAAGCCCTAATTTGTTTCTTAGTAGGCCTAGTCTACAGAAACTTCATATCCAGTGCTTGTAATTTCCTTTCATCTATTACACCATCCTCATGTTTCTGCTCTGTCCTTCATGATGGACAGGTAGGACCTCCATTTTGTCTTTGCCAGCCCAATGTATAAAGGTTATGTGAAGTAATGAGAAAGACTTGTCACACAAGTATTTTTTGACCACCATCTTGAGAGAAATAGGGCTTCCATTGAGGAATTGGCATTTTAGGGTCACACTGATAGAATTCTGTTACTTCCATGATGTTACACTCCAGAACAATTAATGATTACATTATAATGAGATTTGTCATTTGGAATTTATACAGACTACTAAAATTAGTTGGTCATATTTAATTTTGATTCCTGTCAGTCAAATGTAACCACCCCTATTTTATATGAAGTTTAAATTCAGTTTTATACATTTGAATAGTGTCTGAGATCAAACCTTAAATATTTTCAATGATAAAGTTGCATTCTGACTACTAACCTACCAAGGTGTCTCAGTTTTAAATGACAGAGATTCAAACTTGTAACCTCTATGTTGAGTCTGAAGATCTGCCTTTCAGAGGAAGCATAATATGAAGGAAATGAATTGGCCTCTATCATAAACTATATCATCATATATGATTCCACACTCTGGGACATAAGAAATGTGTACTAAATTTGAGTTGGAAAATCCCAAGGAAGAGACCAACTGGGAAACCTAAGTGTGTGGACACAATGAACTTTGAGGTACATAAGAGGCAGTGGTTTATTGATCAGCCCAACTGTTCTATGGAGACAGCTGTTCGTATATTAAGACTGGTCTCCAACAAGAAGTTGTTTAAATTTTATAATGTATTGACAGCCCTGAACAGATTCAGGTATTTGTCAGTGACATTTGTAAACCATATCAAGTGTGCTGCTAACTGCAACTCACCAAGTGGTAGCAGTATTGTGACAGGGCTTCACTGCAGGGGGCTCCACCAATACGAATGTTGTTCCCTTGGCAGCGAAGATGGATCTGTCAGCTGGGCAGCGAACACACAGTTTTTCAATAGGACTGAAGTTGGGTTCATCTTGCACTGCCTTTAAACCTGCATCAGGAGTTTCATAGTTATGCTAATATTTTTATTAATACTGTATTTGCCCAGATATAATGTCCTCTGATTATGACATTAAACTGAATAGTTTTTAGACAGATTTTGTATAAAATTCATGGAGCATCTTGCATCTGCAAACAACTATCAATATACTGAATAATTTTTTAAATCTGTTGTTCTTGTAAGGACACAGCCATAATGTCAGTAAAGAACATTTTCAGTGGAAGCTTCTGATAAAATATATAATAGAATCGAAAAGTGTACTGTTATCACTAATGCACAATGAATGTTCATTTGGGGAGGGGATATTTGGAGGGAAAAATGTGCACCATATTCGGGCAAATATGGTATATTTTGGACGTTCTTCTGTTTACCTTGGCTGGAGACCGGGTATCCTGAGTGAGGGTTTTCAGTGGTGCATAGGCTATTTCATGACTTCTTACCAAATGCTATGGTCTTTTGTTGAATGAGATGAAAGTGTGATTATGTATGGTGAACTGGAAGAGACTGGGATAGACACTGTGGTAGAATAAAATGGGAATATAACATTGAAATGGAGCTTAAGGAAACAGGTTGTGAAGACTGAAGGTGGATGGAATTGGCTCAACATTGGTATTACCAGTGTTGAGCCTTCAGGTTACTTAATAATAATAATAATATACAGAATTTTAATATCTGATTGCATTGGCACTTTATATTTTATTCAGTGTCAGTGGATTTCTAGCATTTGTTTGTTTATGTTACCTGGATCAGTCATGGAGGATGCAGAATTGGTCAAATCGTTGTCACCAGCCCATGATGTCACTTGCTGGGGTCCCAGAACAGTTGTAGTGATCGTGCCCCGGTATGCCTGTGGAAAATTTGTATATTCCACATGAGCCCTAGCCAAGGTGTACCTGTGTAGATAATGTTTTATTCTAACACAAAGGGTTCAGTTTGAAAACGCAGGTGTAATGTGCAAATTATTGTTTCTTTTTTTTTCTGACGACTAGAAGTGCATGAACTACCATGAGCAAACTTGAGTTGAAAGGGACGAACTATAACACATATCTTCTGATATCTCCTACTTCCTTCACATAATGCAACTTGTTCCCACAGACGAAATTCTGATGACAGAGCCATATCTAGCATGAAGGAAATGTCACTAGCAAATTAAATTTTGGGCTAATGAAGCTAATCTAGATTACACTGATTTGGTTGTATTTGTTCAGTTTACGTTCTTGTTTATAAATAAGTAATTAATTTGTTCCTTTGTCTAACATCACGTGATAAAACAGTATAGAGGGCGTTGTGATAAGGATTTAACACTCAGCAAAATGTGTCTACGACACCCATTGTATAAGAGACTGGGCCGCAGAGCCGGTCTAACATGATGTACAGACAAATTCCTGTCATCAATGGAAATTGTGCTTAGTTATCTAGCCTGTGATCATCCAGTCACTGTAAACTGTGCCACACTAAGCTATAAGTCTCTAAGATGGTAACAATGGAAAGGTGATCTTCTATTTTTCTACTCTTTGTGATGTCATAAATGTCTAGAAATTGCTCAAATTTAATTCAGTGAATGCTTTCTGAAGGACTGAACTCGGGTAATGCTTGTCACCATTCAGTCCAGAACCTTCTGTCTTCTCCTCTGCTGTCTAAAAATATAAAAATTATAATATACAAAACTATAATTTTGCCTGTGGTTTTGTATAGGTGTGAAACTAGGTCTCTGACATTAAGGGAGGAACATAGACTGAGGGTGTTTGAGAACAGGGTGTTGAGGAGAATACTTGGACCGAAGAGAGATGAAGTGACAGGAGGTTGGAGAAAACTGCATAATGAGGAGCTTCATAACTTGTACTCTTCTCCAAGTGTAATTAGAATGATCAAGCCAAGGAGGATGAGGTGGGCAGGGAATGGAGCATGAATGGAGAGATGAGGAATGCATATAGGATACTGGTGGGAAAGCCAGAAGGAAAGAGACCACTGGGAAGACCAAGGCGTAGGTGGGTGGATAATATTAGAATGGATCTTAGAGAGATAGGATGGGATGGTATGGATTGGATTGATCTGGCTCAGGATAGGGACTAGTGGAGGGGTCTTGTGAATATGGTAATGAACCTTTGGGTTCTATAAAATGCTGGGATGTTATTGAGCAGCTGCACAATTGAAGGCTTCTCAAGAAGGGTTCAGCTCCATGAGTGAGTGAGTGAGTGAGTGAGTGAGTGAGTGCTTTAAAATTGTGATTAATAAGATTTTGTTTTATTTATTTGTTTAATCAGCAATCAGAATGTGCATTCTGTAAGCTAATGTTATGGCTGTTTAGATGACTTGATGAAGAGTCGTCCAGCAGTGGCTCCTCAGTAATTCAAATCAGGTCAATTGGCCAGTTTCGTCTGAGTCGTCTATTGTCTTCTCTTGTCTGTAGCATTTTTAGGAGTGGGTTTCTATGAGTTATGATTCTGTTGTGATGTCTGTTGATTTTTTGTTGGATGACATCTTGTACAGAAGACATACCGAGATCGGTGTGGAGTGGATTAATAAGATGAGCTTGAAATAAATTCAGAACATAACAATCCCTTGCAGTTTCTGAGCATTATTGGTACAGCATTCCTAAAATTAAAGCATAATGTGGAAATGTGTCTGTCCGTCTGCATGTTTAATCTTTGGGGCTGATCAACATATTTTTATTGAATTTGGCACTGAGATATATGTATATTTACATCTGTCATGCTAATTTAAATTAATTCCTTATCTATGCAATATAAAGGAACACATATTTTGTGTAAATTTGAAACCTAAACCCGTGCTCTCAAAAACTCCACATATTCAAAAGAAGACAGCTGGTGAGGGTAAAAGCAAGGTTGCCCCGTACTTAATTAATTAAGCACCATGACATGAAGTCGTATGGGGGAACGGAGGTATGGTCCCACCTTTCTTGACCTCTGCACAAGATTGAGGTGAGTATCAACTTCACGCCCCAGCTGCAAAACCCCTGGGGAATGAGCCCCTGGTGCCCCCTGGATAGGACACTGGGTGGACCCAGAGCTGGTCTGGATGCTGTGGAGAAGAGAACAATGTCTTGCCTTGCCTTTGACAACTACCACTTTCAGACCTGCTTGGAGCATTGCTTGACAGGGCACATACTTAATGGAACACTGGGTGGTGTGATGGCTTTGTTGCAGCTAGGTTTTATCTGCAGTATGGAAACACCATCAGTAATGAGCAAAGGAAATTAACAGATGCCAAGAACGTTAACCCTGTTAATCTCTAAAACAAAACATGTTTATATAACTGTTAAGCCAATTAAGCCAATAATCGTTATGCCTTTTCAAAATATAGAACTATAATTCTGCCAATTACAAATGGGACAACACTAAACCAAACACATGAAATTTCACTTTGACTCTGAAACCTCGTATTGTGACGTGTTGCCATGTAATCCATTATCTGTCAACTGCACAGTGTCTTCTCACATGACAGTAATCTTTGCAGAATAATGAAAACCAAGAAAAGGATTGCAAAATTTTATAAAAGATTATCAACTCTGTCCAGTGTGATCGATAAATGTGTGTTTTTTTATCTTTCATCTCTGACATGTTTTGGTTGAAGCGACCATCTTCAAAAGGACATTATCAATATATACAGAAACTACTACTACAATATCATAGATATAAAATATTATATCCTCTAACAATTTCTGTGATGTGCATGAATTTGTTAAAATATTTACAAATTATTACAATTAATATATTTACAAAGTATTATTTAAAAAACTTTTTGTTAAAATGTAGAACCAATTTGGTTCGTGTCCTTATACCTCTTCTCTTTGTATCTATGGCATTGGACTAGTGGTTTCTGCATGCATTGATAATGTCCTTCTAAAGATGGTCGCTCCGACCGAAACATCTCAAAGATGAAAGGTTAAAAAACACACAGCATTTATCAATCACACTGGACGGCGTTACAATTTTTATACTATTGCTAATGTGACGGGTCAGGATGAACCAAGTGAAACTGCAAAATATGACAATATATGAAACGATGCATAAAGCAAAATCACGATAAAACATCCAATGAAAAGCGTAAAGTCACGAATGAGTTTGTTAGCTGCTTAAAGAACTCAAGAAGAATTAAGTTGTACTGACCAGCGTTAGCCGCTAATTTTATTTCGTCTATCATTTTCATAATTTATATTGGGTATTGACTCAGTCTCGTAAAGACAATTGAGTTATTTCAAGAAAATAGCAGCTCCGGTCTAGAAAATGGAGATTAACGGGCGTGGGATCCGTTGCGCTGGCCACGCGACACCCTCTATTCGCAAAAGTTGTAACTAACTTCGCCGACAAGCGGCGGTCGCTCTGTCGGTATAGTTGGCTTGTGGACTGCAGGCCACGAAGTTTCTTTATTGCTTGAGCAGGCAAAGAGGAGCAGTATGATGCTTAATCAACTCCTGTGATGATTACACAGTCACTATTGATTGCTTTATTGCTGCTGGCACACATTAACAAATCATCATACATAATTTTAAATTTGCTTATAAAAGCAGCGTTTTCTATTTTACACTTTTAAATCTCAAGACAGAATTCACGTCTGTCTGCTTTGGAAAACGCAAACCCGATTACATTACAGAGATCAGCTCCGTCCCTTTTAAGAACTTGAAACAAACGGATTCTTGGAAGTCAAGCATTCTGACGCTTGAAGACTCTTGATTTCCTTTGTTCACAAAATTTGACCTTGATGGTTTACATTTTGAACTGAGGTAGTCTTTGGTTTTCATACTGACCAATCAATCACTTGCTTTAGTACTGAAGCGTGTATAGCTGTTCCTATGCAACGATTGTGAGACGGGCAGTTATATCAGGCCCGTTTCTGGGCAACGGCTCCATAAACACGTTCCGCGGTAACGGTTACGCATACAACGGGAGAAACGGGGTGTCGTCTCTGCGATCCACGCCGAAGAGTTATAAAAAGAAGAGAATTGGGGCAACCAGTTTAGTTGAGCTCTGCAAGGGAGGCTGAGAAGAGATGGCGGTCTAGTCGAGTTGTCAGTTGAGAGTTTGGTCTGCACGGGCGGCTGTGACAAGAGGACCTGAGCATCCACTGTTATAATCCGTTGCCAGGGTACGGCTGGTGAAGACACAGCAAGCTGGAACAGTCTTAGCGGGTGCTGTGGTGATTTGTAAAGTGTGGAGATTAGAGGTGACTCTGTAATTACTTGTACTCGTAGTTCCGAGGCGTGTGTATAAGTGGTCAATGTATCGGTTCACCAATCAAAACCCCGTCTATAGTCACACCCCTAAATCGTGACAGTACCATTGTCTAGCAAGTCGCTATCACGCCATGAACAGCTAATTCAGCGTACGGTCTGGCGTCCTCAGCTTGAATCACGTGTTCCTAGCACCTGCAAATCAAAGGCTTTGCCGCCGTGCCACTAAGTGAAGCCCCCCTCCTAAAAAAAAGAGAACAATTTATTTCTAGCGGCTAGCGCATGTTAATTATGCTCTTTTGTTCGTACTTATTAACTTTGTAACTTGAATTAAGCAGAAATGGGTTTTCTTTACTCCTACGAATTTACAATGATTTAATTAGATTCAACACGTGTTAATTATGTTTCCATTTTAAGTTGCTAATTAAAATACGTAAATTATACAACTTATACTGAGCGGCGCTACTAATCAGCAACAATTATTAACTATACTTACAATTAAATTAAATTATTTTTAAGTGATTACAATATGAATTTGATATTTCCTTAGGCCTGAATGATTACAGAATCGAACTGGTGATTTTTTGAAACCATTCAGCGTTTGATATCTGTCACTGTGCCAGCGTTCTTGCAATTAATGGAAGCTACACTCCAGCAATATGCAAGCATACATCGTAGTGAACTGAAACACGTGACCTAGCTTTAGTCGGGTGTTGCAATGAAGTATCTCCATAAAAGTGATAAACAAACAAAATGGCTCCAGCAATGTTAAAAGATAAGGAAAGTGCCCCCAGAACTGCAGTAAAGAAGAAAATTGCCTCGGGAGATGCTGAAAACAAGGAAAAGTGCCTCAAGAATTGTAGGGGAAAAAGAAAAATGCCTCCAATACTGTTGAAAAACGAGAAAAAATTGCTCTGAAACCCCTGAAAGAAACAAAGAAAAGTGGTTCGAGAACTTCAGACTACAAGGAATTCTTGCCTTCAGAACTGTATAAAACAAGGGCAGTACCTCCCCAACTGCCTAGAAGCAAAAGAAAATGCGTATATAACCTTAAAAATAACTAAAAGTGCTTCCAGAATTGCTGTAAAACAAAGAACATATTCCATTAAGGTGTTCTATAAACTAGCGTTATAATGCGTCAGTGACACGTATGACCGAATTTACCGTGTGTTCTTTCGAGCAAATAATTTAAGATACAAGTTGCTTCGTCGAGCACTCTGCTCTGCAGACCCAGTTAAGACGAAGAAGCACCCACAAAACTCGCCTTCTTGTTACCAGACAAGACCGGAACATTGACCTTGGCGCCTTTGTACGGGATAGTAGCTGAGCCCCACTGAGACGATCGGAAGAGCCCTGTTGTCCTTCGCTCCGTCTTGCCATTCTGTCCCACAGTGACATGGTGGTTCCTCTGAGGCACCGTGACCCTCCCGAGTTGTGACGCCAGAACGCGGTGCCTTCGGTGAGCGGAGTTCCAGTGTCTGTCACAAGAAATTTTACTCAAGTGTATCAACATTTCCATTTTTGTCAGCCTGTTGAACAGACAGAATATTTTTAATAATTTACTCCAACATCACTCACTCATGGAGCTGAACCCTTCTTGAAAAGCCCCCAATTCCCCTCCTACTCAAGAATTTCCCAGCATTTTATGGAACCCGAAGGTTCATTACCGTGTTCACGAGAGCCCTCCAGCGGTCCCTATCCTGAGCCACCTCAATCCAATTCAAACCATCCCATCTTAATAATGCATTTTAATATTGTCCACCCACCTACGCCTTGGGCTTCCCAGTGGCCTCCTTAGTTCCAGCTTTCCCACCAATAGCCTATATGCATTCCTCCTCTCCCCCATTCGTGCTACCTGCCCTGCCCATCTCATCCTCCTTGACTTGATCATTCTAATTATACGTAACTTCATATTTTGTAAAACTTACAATTATACATGTATCAGATCTCTGATAAATGACATTATAAAACACATTCGATTCAGTTCAATTATTTATGGGGTCAAGAAGTATTGATGTGCCAGTCCTGTGCATTAATTCAACTGCATTTCAAATAATCCTTGAGAACTCAGTGACCCTTCTTAGAGCAGGTCGCGGCCCCCGTGTACCTGTGTCTGGAGTGGAAATAAGTTGTCTTGTTCAGTCAGTCAGTATTCCAGTCGTATTATATTATACGTCACAAGATTAAAGGCAGTAAAAACTTATATTAAAACAGTTCTGGTTCTTTGATTATGTATTACATGCTTCAACCGTAAACGGCCATCGTCAGGTGTGACGCGAAACTGCATAAATGCAGGCAATGTAACATAAAGTATTAATTAAGCGCCATGTATTGAAGGCGTAGGTGGACTGGAGTTATAGCTCCACAATTCTTAACCTAGGCACCAGATGGAAGTGGGTGGTCAGCTTCACACTCTTGCCCTCGTTACCCAAAGGAAACAGCCCCCGGGTCCAATTTTATAGGAGGTAAGATGGGCCACAGAGCCGATCTGGACGTTATGAAGAAGGGGGTTGCCAGGAAACGAACTCCGACTTATTGGTCTCGCACCCCGTAACCTAGACGCTATACCAACCGAGCCCATAGATAAATAATAATAAATGAGGTAGACTGGGACTTAATTTTACAAACTTTTAATTTACATTTTTAAACAAACAAAAAAAAAAACCCCGTGGCCTGTAGTCTGCAAGCGAACTATATCGACCCAGCGACCGCCGCTTGTCGGCGAAGTTAGTGCCAACTTTAGCGGATAGAGGGTGTCACGTGGTCAGCGCAACGAATCCCCACTGTCGTTAATTTCGGTTTTCTAGACCGAAGCCGCTATTTCCTTGAAATAGCTACTCAATTATCCTCACGAGGCTGAGTGGACCCCGTTCCAGACCCACTACTTCTCAGAAAATCTGGTATCGCCGGGAATCGAACCCAGGACCTCTGGATTTGTAGCCAGGAACTCTGACCACTAGACCACAGTCGCGGTCACAACATCTCCACATTTTAACAGATTTGTACTTAGAGCCTATATAAATGTGGATGATTTATTTACGTTACCTGATGATGACTGTTTACAGTCGAAGCATGCAGTGAGTGACAGGAGATAAAAATGGTTTTTATGTTGTGACGTTTAATCTTATAAGTTAAAGTTGAACACAAACAGGAAGCAATCTTATAAAATAATACAGTGCGTACAATCAAGTGCGCGCCGCGGCTGCAATTTGCCGTGAGTCATACCACCGCAGAACGGATGCAACTCCTCCCCGCGACTGCAGTGCTCCTACGCCGATGGTTGCATAATCGGAACCCGAGGTTGCATTAAACAGTCAGTCTTTGTCTTGCTGTGGAAGTGGAGTGGAATGTTTACAGCTGTCGACAGACGGTGGAAATGAAGTTCACTATTAAACAGCGTGTGTTTATTGTCGAAACTATTGCAAGGAAAAACATTTACAGAAAATTCGCACGTAGGTTTCGTCAGAAATATCCTGACTCGCCAGTTCCCACAAAGTCGTGTGTAAACAGGCTTCTGAAAAAGTGGCGGGCCACAGGTTCAGTGAGTGACAAGAAGAAGCAATCGAAGAGAACTGTGCTGACTGAAGAAAAGGTTAAGGATATTCAGGCAAGATTACAGATCAGTCCTCGAAAATCGTTAAGACGCTTAGCACAGGAAACTGGTGTTTCGCTAGGATCTGCTCGCACAGCCACAAAGTTAATCAAATTTCGCCCGTATAAAGTAACAGTTGTGCATGAGCTGAAAGAACCAGATCATGCAGCAAGAATTCGTTTTTGCAACTGGCTGCTGCAAAATGTACACGATGGAATAGTGGATCCTCAGCTTCTATTCATGACTGATGAAGCGTGGTTCCACGTTGGTGGCCACGTCAATGCACAAAACGTAAGAATATGGAGCAATGAAAATCCTCACGCTATACAGCAAGTGCCATTACATAGTGAAAAGGTGGGTGTGTGGTGTGCTGTAAGCCCGCGGCGAATCATTGGCCCCATATTTTTCCACGATACCGTGAACTCTGATCGGTACATTAATGACATACTGAATCCCTTCTTCGATCAGTTGAATGCCGAAGAAAGACAATACGGGTATTTTCAGCAGGACAACGCTACAGCACATACGGCTAATGCATCCATGGTCGCAATACAGGAAGTGTTTGAAGACAGAATTGTCAGTAGAGGACTGTGGCCTCCCAGATCCCCAGATCTCAGTATTTCTGATTATTATCTTTGGGGCAACCTGAAGCAAAAAGTCTACAAAAATAATCCCCGCAGCATTGATAGTCTTCAAAATGAAATTACACGCGTAATTCATTCAATTACCGTCGACGAACTGCAGAGAGTGTCGCGTAATTTATTTGTGAGATGCGCGGCATGTTTGCAAGCAGAAGGAGGTCACTTTCAGCACCTGTTATAAACCACGGTAAGTTATCTTTTTACTGTATTCTTATAAATGTGTGCATGTAGAGCAACTGATGGACGGAGACTCAGCGACACCACTACACTCACGCTATCGGGGAACGGCACTGCAGTCGCGGGGAGGAGTTGCATCCGTTCTGCGGTGGTATGACTCACGGCAAATTGCAGCCGCGGCGCGCACTTGATTGTACGCACTGTATAATCTCATTTGAAGGACTGCCATTTGTTTCAAGCTGTTTGTTACATTCCACGAGAAAGTCGGTGCCACGTTGGTCGCCGAAAAATGTTTCCAGTTTAATGTGAAAGTAAACAAGTGTACTAATTCTTCGTTGCAGAACTAACCCATATGTAGCTTTTCATCAAGACCGGAAACGGATATTATGGCGTCAATGCGTAGTGACAGATAAACATTTCATTACGTTTATAGTCCCTTGTTAAATAACATGATGACGCTTAATGCCGTCATACCCATCTTGTTTAGTGGCGCTTGGGACGCTTTGCCACTCTCCAGCCTTCGTAGTATTATGAAAGCATATAACGCTTCGGAAACGGGATATGTTTCCTTCCTCAGACACGGTTTCTAGAGCCTTTGTTCCTTCATAACGATAGTGACTTGACAAAGTACAAAAATTCTCTAATTGCAAGCGTAACATTCCGCTGTCAACACCTAGAACTGGTTTGTTGAAGTGGCAGTTTAGGTTCTGACGTAACTGCTGCAATGAGCTTCACATTCGCTGTTACCGTCTCTGTTAGACGGCAACGCATCACTTCTTGAAGATCAGTGTCTTCAGGCATGCGATGCGGTATTTTATTTATTCGGAAGAACCTGCTGTTTCATTTTTAGGGTAGTGTTCCCTGCAAAAGATTCCACCGAAACGTCTGTCTCTGTCTACCAAACTGAATGTTATCACAACCCAGAAGACAGTAATCTTCCTGGTTATTATTATTATTATTATTATTATTTAGAGAGGGTGGGTTTCCCCATGCACCGCGACCAGTTTGATCTATTGTGCTTCCCTCTATGATATTCTACCAGTCTCTATAACCTACCGATAAATGGTGCGTACCATCAGTCCCGCCGAGCAAGCGAGTTCGGCCACTTGCTTAGCGGCGTCTATAATGCTTCCCCCATCTATCGGTGGCCTTAGAGACTATTGTTGGGCGGGAAACGTCCTGGAATTTGGCTCAGTGATTCCCTTTGGGGATATAAGGTTCTTTTACGTGCCGTAAAGTTACGACACGGGACACACAGCTTAAAGTCCCTCCCGGAGGACTTGTTCCCTGAATTTTTCCGCCCTTAAAAATTCGACGACTTCCGCCGGGTATTTGAACCCGCGTACCACGAGTCATGAGGTGGGAACGTTACCTCTAGACTACGGAGGCCGCTAATCTTCCTGGTTAATGCCATGAGAACCCTGAATACTCATACACTGCTTCTATTCTGGAGGGTCTTGTCATGTTTAGATGAATTATACTTCACAATATCAATTCATATTAGAATAAAAGAATTCATGTCACACTTCTTGTCATCAAGGCACGAAGTGTCCTCATGTTCATGATGAAGGATGTGGCTTCCATATGGACATAAAGAAATCAGCAAGTTGCGAAATGTTACAAAAGATTTCGGGACTTTGATGTTAACGTATACAAAGTTTTAGTCAGAAACACCTAAGGGAGCAGACCACTTAGAAAGTCTATAAATCGATGGGGAAGAAATATAAAGTGGACCTTATGGAAACAGGGTGAGAGGATATGGTCTGGATTCATTTGGCTCGGGACGGGTACCACTGTAGTGGGATTCTGTGAACGCGGTTGAGGATCTTCGGCTTCGAGAAGAGGAGAAAGTTCCGTGATTAGCTTCCCGAGAAGTATCTGCTTCGTGGATCTAGTTTTAGCTCAGTTAGCCGCTCAGTAAGTGTGAAGGGCTGCCGGTCACGGTAGCCGAGCGATCTAAGGCATGCACTGTCTTCGCTCGCTCGGAAGCCGGGATCGTGGGTTCGAATCCCAGTCAGGGCATGGATGTTTGTGTGCGTTCTTCTGTGTTTGTCTACAGGTAGAGACCTTGCGAGGAGCTGATCACCCGCCCAAGGAGTCCTACCGAATGTGTAGGATCTAGAAAAACCGAAGTGAATGGAGTTCATGGAGGTAGGCCTAGGCCCACTGGGGCTGTAGTGCCAAGGAAAAAAAAAAGTGTGAAGGGCTAGATTTGGCACACAATTTAGGATATTACAGAACAGGAAACTTCGTGTCTCATGTGAGTATTCAGTGTTCTTGTTAGGACAGGAAAATGTAGTAGACAGCTCTGGACCAGGGAGTGCACGTAGCCAGAACTGAAAAAGAATGCAGAATTTTAGCGTAAGAGCCAACTTATAAAAAGGCTATTTGGAAATAGGGAAATGGAATGTGACGATGGAAGATAGACAGAACTGGCTCAGGGTCGTGTGCAATTGTAGATTTTGGAATATGTGCTTAATCACTTTAAGTATATGAAGTGCATGCAGTGAACTTACTTGGAACTGTCGGATCTACGCGTCAGTCTACAAGTTTCATTTTTGAAATCAGTGAAAGAATTTCGATGAAATTTGGCACTGAGGATCTGGAATAAAATTTACCTGGCCAATTTGATTTTCGTCCATATCGTTAGGACATAAATCATAATTTAAGTGGAGCAGAAATCGGAACTTTCGTTGTGAATAAGTTAATCGCCAAATAATCACAGTAGGTATACATAAAATGCATAAAATACAGACTAATTTAGAGCCGTAATAATAATTTTATTATAAATATCTCAGATAAGGGAGATAAGCTCTGAAGCAATGCAGCGCTGCCTGTAGAGCGCTCAGCTCCCTCTCAGCTCCCTCTTAGCCTATTTTCCTTCGGTAAAATTAAAATGTAGGCACTAATATCACAACCCGCATATCGCCTGCTTCAACTTTGAACTTTTGACCAATTCTAACGAAATTGATTATAGATCTTATTCGACTGGAACCCACACCCAGGCCTCATTTTTAAGCCCCTACAGTCCTTAACATCAAGCTAAGTCGGTATAGCAACTGGCTACGGGCTGGACAACCGAGAGGTCGGAGTTCGAGTCCCGGTAGTGTCAAGAATTTTCACTTCTCCATGTCGTCCAGACCGGCTCTGGGGTCCACCCAACCTCCTATACAATGGGTACCGGGGGTACAGCGGCCGGAGCATGAGGCTGACCACTCACCTCAAACTAGTGCCGAGGTCAAGAAAATTTGGTTCTGTACATCCACTCCCCCATACGCCTTCATGGCGCAGTGGTTAATTAGTTAAGCACAGGGACAACTTTAAATTACCTTTCGAAATCAGTAGCAACGGCGCCGCGGGCCCGCTGACTTGTGAGGGTGAGGGCGCCACTAGCGCCATGTTCTTTACGGCAAGCTATAGCGTACAGTAAGAGGGCTCGGAAAGTATGCAACTTCTGTCAAGGATTTTTTTGTAGAACTTATAACAACATGGCTGCCGTACGAGAACATTCTTTAGCTTTAAGTTTCTTGGCGATAACTAATAAACCATTCGAGCTATCCGTCCGTCCGTCCATACATCCAACCATGGCTCTACAGCCCTTGTGGACCTTGACCGCTTTTCAGTTTCTTTTTTTTTTTTATTGATAGTGGGGTGGGGCTAAGTCCCTTGTACTGCGGCCACTTTTGGCCTATTGTACCATCCCCAGATGATAGTTGAGGGTGATTGTGGAGCAATTGGTGGAATGAAGATTGGCAGGGGAAACCGAAATACTCGGAGAAAACCTGCCCCAGTGTCACTTTGTCCGCCACAAATCCCACTTGATCAGACCCGGGATCGAACCCGGGTCGCCGCGATGAGAAGCCAGCGATTAACCGCTTGAGCTATGGCGCGGCCCTTTTCGGTTTCTTAATCCATACATAGTCGGTAGGACTCCTTGGACGGGGGATCAGCCCGTCGGAAGGCCGCTACCTACACACAGAACAACACAAACAGAATAAATGTACACAGACATCCATACATCGAGTGAGATTCGAACCCACGATCCAAGTTTTCGAGCTGGCGAAGACGGTTCATGCATTAGACCGCACGGGCACTGTGTTCGGCAATTCTAGTATATAAGAAATTCTTAATTCATTTAATAGCATTTTTTTTTTACCTCTTAGTAACCACGGCTGATACTTTCCATAAAAGGCAACTGAAGAAATACCATGGAAACATGCACCAAATAGAAAAATTGTTCCTATAAATTTCATGCGTCAGAATCACACACGACGACCAAACAGTTGTGCAAGCAATAAAATGTGAAAGGCACTCATTTTACTGCTACCCAAGGAACGAATATGAACCCGCAATCTCAGACGGAAACACGGCGATTTCACGGCGTTTCCCATCCCTGCCGACAGTTCTTCCTAAAGGTGCTACAGAATATTAGCGCTGCAACTTATACAGATTTTCATGATTCATGTCAAATATTTGCCACAGCCAGGAACTACGCTGAATGTTGAGCGAGGAAAGCCCTTGCTTCTCTTACCTTCCTGCAGTATGTCAGGAACTAGGCTGAATGCTGTGAGAGGAAAACCCTTGCTTGTCTTACCTTCCTGCAGTATGTCAGGAACTAGGCTGAATGCTGTGAGAGGAAAGCCCTTGCTTCTCTTACCTTCCTGCAGTGAGTCAGGCGCTAGGGTGAATGTTTAGCGAGGAAAGCCCTTGCTTCTCTTACCTTCCTGCAGTGAGTCAGGCGCTAGGGTGAATGTTTAGCGAGGAAAGCCCTTGCTTCTCTTACCTTCCTGCAGTGAGTCAGGCGCTAGGGTGAATGTTTAGCGAGGAAAGCCCTTGCTTCTCTTACCTTCCTGCAGTGAGTCAGGCGCTAGGGTGAATGTTTAGCGAGGAAAGCCCTTGCTTCTCTTACCTTCCTGCAGTGAGTCAGGCGCTAGGGTGAATGTTTAGCGAGGAAAGCCCTTGCTTCTCTTACCTTCCTGCAGTGAGTCAGGCGCTAGGGTGAATGTTTAGCGAGGAAAGCCCTTGCTTCTCTTACCTTCCTGCAGTGAGTCAGGCGCTAGGGTGAATGTTTAGCGAGGAAAGCCCTTGCTTCTCTTACCTTCCTGCAGTGAGTCAGGCGCTAGGGTGAATGTTTAGCGAGGAAAGCCCTTGCTTCTCTTACCTTCCTGCAGTGAGTCAGGCGCTAGGGTGAATGTTTAGCGAGGAAAGCCCTTGCTTCTCTTACCTTCCTGCAGTGAGTCAGGCGCTAGGGTGAATGTTTAGCGAGGAAAGCCCTTGCTTCTCTTACCTTCCTGCAGTGAGTCAGGCGCTAGGGTGAATGTTTAGCGAGGAAAGCCCTTGCTTCTCTTACCTTCCTGCAGTGAGTCAGGCGCTAGGGTGAATGTTTAGCGAGGAAAGCCCTTGCTTCTCTTACCTTCCTGCAGTGAGTCAGGCGCTAGGGTGAATGTTTAGCGAGGAAAGCCCTTGCTTCTCTTACCTTCCTGCAGTGAGTCAGGCGCTAGGGTGAATGTTTAGCGAGGAAAGCCCTTGCTTCTCTTACCTTCCTGCAGTGAGTCAGGCGCTAGGGTGAATGTTTAGCGAGGAAAGCCCTTGCTTCTCTTACCTTCCTGCAGTGAGTCAGGCGCTAGGGTGAATGTTTAGCGAGGAAAGCCCTTGCTTCTCTTACCTTCCTGCAGTGAGTCAGGCGCTAGGGTGAATGTTTAGCGAGGAAAGCCCTTGCTTCTCTTACCTTCCTGCAGTGAGTCAGGCGCTAGGGTGAATGTTTAGCGAGGAAAGCCCTTGCTTCTCTTACCTTCCTGCAGTGAGTCAGGCGCTAGGGTGAATGTTTAGCGAGGAAAGCCCTTGCTTCTCTTACCTTCCTGCAGTGAGTCAGGCGCTAGGGTGAATGTTTAGCGAGGAAAGCCCTTGCTTCTCTTACCTTCCTGCAGTGAGTCAGGCGCTAGGGTGAATGTTTAGCGAGGAAAGCCCTTGCTTCTCTTACCTTCCTGCAGTGGGGTGCGCCGCGGGGCCTCCATTCACCTGGCGTCCTATTTGGTTGCTGTGCTCCTCGTCTGTTGTCCGCATCGCCAGAAAGAAACACGTCCATTAATATCAGTCCAAATATGAGTGACAATTTATAAATATATGAATTGTAAAGGGAAACTGTTACACTGCAACGCTAACATAAAATTTAACAAAACCTGTCTAAAGGAAAAGCTAGTACCAAAATACGCGTAAATGAAAATAACAACAAACAACGAAACGGATTCTGATATATCGTAACCTGTTAGCAACGGAGAAATGAACAATTGGGAAGACTAGTGTTTTATAAATTTGAAACTACGTGCAGTGTAGCAGCTACATGAGAGTATACACCTGATGATGGCCATATACGGCCGAAACATGTAGTGTAGAAGAAAGGAAGACGAAGAGCTACAATAAATTGCTGCACTTAGGACGGAGTTTGTGTCGTATATTGTGTAGAGTGTAACAGGATGCTTAAATATAATATTGACGACAGTAGCCTGAACTGTAGTATGAACTGTCTTAGCTCGCTCGAGAGCTGGGATCGTGGGTTCGAATCCCACTCAAGGCATGGATGTCTGTTAAAGTTTATTCGGTATGTGTTTGTGTATTTCTATGTGTAGGTAGAGGCCTTAGGACGGGCTCACCCCCTTCCAAGGAGTCCTACCGACTGTGTATAGGAACAAGGAACTGAAAAAGAGGCCAAGGTCCACAAGGGCTGTAGTTATATAACAACAACAACAACAACAACAATAATATTATTAATAATAATAATAATAATAATAATAATGGTGCTTCCTCAACTGTCAGTACAATATGGAAGGTTAATAACCTGCATATTAAATTCATATTATGACAGTTGTCTTAAAATTCTATAACCTGTCAACTATGTTCATGTCACTAGAGTAACCTCAAATATTTGACACATATGTCAATGTCCGGAACATGATCTTCATGTCATGATTGTGCCCTCAAATATCAATACAAACATACTAATTATTAGAATATTCTCCTCCTGTTACGACAGTGGCCTGAAAATGATCTTCATACTGCGAACACAACCGAAGCAATTATTAACATGAAAATTACTCCTGCCTTCATATCGTGAAGTGGTCTGAACAGTGCCTTAATATCTTGAAGTGGTCTGAACAGTGCCTTCATATTTTGAAGTGGTCTGAACAGTGCCTTCATATATTGAAGTGGTCTGAACAGTGCCTTCATATATTGAAGTGGTCTGAACAGTGCCTTCATATTTTGAAGAGGTCTGAACAGTGCCTTCATATCTTGAAGTAGTCTGAACAGTGCCTTCATATCGTGAAGTGGCCTGAACAGTGTCTTCATATCTTGAAGAAGTCTGAACAGTGCCTTCATATCTTGAAGTGGTCTGAACAGTGCCTTCATATATTGAAGTGGTCTGAACAGTGCCTTCATATTTTGAAGAGATCTGAACAGTGCCTTCATATCTTGAAGTAGTCTGAACAGTGCCTTCATATCGTGAAGTGGTCTGACCAGTGCCGTCATACCGTGAAGTGGCCTGAACAGTGCTTTCATATCTTGAAGAAGTCTGAACAGGGCCTTCATATCTTGAAGTGGTCTGAACAGTGGCTCCATATATTGAAGTGGGGTGAACAGTGCCTTCATATATTGAAGTGGCCTGAACGGTGCCTTCATATCTTGAATAAAGTCTGAACAGCGCCTTAATATATTGAAGTGGTCTGAACAGTGCCTTCATATTTGAAGTGGTCTGAACAGTGTCTTCATATCTTGAAGTGGTCTGAACCGTGCCTTCATATCGTGAAGTGATCTGAACAGTGCCTTCATATCGTCAAGTGGCCTGAACAGTGCCTTCATATCTTGAATATAGTCTGAACAGTGCCTTCATATTTTGAAGTGGTCTGAACAGTGCCTTCATATATTGAAGTGGTCTGAACAGTGCGTTCATATTTTGAAGTCTGAATAATGCCTTCATATCTTGAAGTAGTCTGAACAGTGCCTTCATATCTTGAAGTAGTCTGAACAGTACTTTCATATCTTGAAATGGTCTGAACAGTGCCTTCATATTTTGAAGTTGTCTGAAAAATCAGTAACCTGGAATGTAACGTCGCGACGCTGGTACCACTTGTAACGTCGTGACGACGGGGGTGGATTGGTAGTCTCACCGCTGTCGCCACTTGTAACATCGTGGTGCAGGGGGGACGTGCAGGTACCCCTCGCTACCACAGCTTACTCTGTAAGGAGTCAACACCATAATCCTAGCTCACCCTCAGCTAGGATTCTCCTGTTTCCGGGTTTCCTTCTCTCATTTAAGCTGCCACCATTTGTCTTCTCTATTGTGGGAACTACCCCCTGACATATAGTCATAGCTCCCTCTTGACAACTCATATAGTCTACAGGTAGTAACGTATTACATTATTATTACATTTTAAGGGGCGTTGGTGTCAAGGCTACTAACTGCTGCCTGTGTGGCGGGTGCCTACCCCTGTCCATTCCTAGTACCTCCCCTTAACATTCGGCTGCTGATGCAACTCTCATTGTGGTAGGATCTGCTGGACGGGTCGTGGAAAGGTGATTGTGGAGGGGCGAATCACAATTCCCTGCGTCCATCCTACTCTATCTACTTTGTCTATTTACACTCTTATATTTATATGATTTACAATATTTACATTATTAACAAGGCCGACTTTCAGTCGGGACTACATAGTGGATTTACTTGAAGCTACGCTAGGAACCTCCCCTTCGGGTGTGTAAAACTGGAGTCTCTCTCTCTCTTCGACTCCTGACTATAGGCAAGTATTAATCGTTCCCTGTGATCCTGTTTCCCTACTATTCATTAGATACGATTACACTATCCTTCGTCAAGTTTCACTCTTGACATAATCTACCCTTAGTTATACCTGTTGAAACCCACATACTATATTTATCACTACACGCTAACCATAACCTTGACACATACACTATAAAACCCTTATTGCCTGACTAACCTCCTAGGCAATTACATGTTACATGAGTCTGGTATCCTCCCCTTAGGGCTCGCCGGGCACACTGGAGTTTGCACATTAAAATCACTCAACAACACTTTTATCAACAATAATATTAAACAACATGGCTGATATGAGTAAAGAGACTTACTTGTCATAGAAGAATGCCGGCCAACTTCCAGCACTCGTCAGACCCATGTTGAATAGCGCCTCCGGCTGACAACTCAATATTATGTGTTAGATCAGCATCCCAAGTCTCTCGAAATTCAGTAATTTATAGTTTCAATTTTGTTAATTCAGCTGTTGACGACAGAGGGTAGTTGACTCCCCCCTTTTGTTCTCAATTTGCAAAGTTATATTCTAATTGGTTATTATCGGTGGTTGTGGGAGGGCCCATGGCGTCTCATCGNTTACTCATATGACCATCTCCAGTGGCCTAGTTAGCGGAGCGTCTTACTTACGCTATTACGCATAAATGCTGATCATCAACATTCTTAACCTAGTTGCCTGTCCAGGTGTTGTCATCTACTGTAATGGCTGTAAAACACTTTTCGCAAGTCTCGAACATTTAGGTAATGGCTTAAATTTCCAATCTCAAATTTGAGGCACTACATGGAATGTTCTTCATATCAAGACAGTAGTTTAAAATAATCATTAACTAATTATATAGTACTATCATACGACACTACGGGCATCATCATTAGATAGATCATGAACATAAACATCTACGGCCGAGGGCACAATTTTCCTTCTTTGTCCAGAGTGAAAAGTTATATAGACATAGCCCTTCCTGGTTTAATTAATATCAGTGGTTCACTTAAGAAAGGATTATATAGTTTATATAGTTTTGAGTTTATTTTAGAACCCTCGCCTGGAAGATGTTTGTTTTAGCTTTAATTCGGTAGCTTACTATATAGAATTGTCTCTCCATTACTAGAAACAACAAATAAACCTTAAAATTAAAAATTCGGATTCTCATAAAATGTATAGAACCGTAGCGATTATCATATTAACTTAAATTTCACTTTATATAACGTACTTATTTACATGTACTTTCCAAAATAATGAACATGAACTTGCTTTATATCGCTAAATAAAGTTCGCGTATAATTTCTACGTTGCAGATGGAGGCATCGGTTCCTCCGACCCGTTTATAAACGTTCGACACTGCAGAGCGCTATCATTTGGAGGGCCATAAACCTCCTCTCAGTGCAAATGTGTGTAAGGGGAAACCGACCTGGGTAATAGTACTCCGGTTCGTACACGTGGTCACGTGTGTAGAATCTGCCTGCACCTCCATATCCTGACGGTACGATCCTGCAACAAATGAAATCACCAATGAGAAGCGGCTGTTGCGTGCTGTTAGTTGTCACTCTACGTTCATGAACGTTGCCACGATCTTTCAAGAAATGAAAACACCAATGAGAAGCAGCTGTTGCGTGCTGTTAGTTGTCACGCTACGCTCATGAACGTTGCCACGATCTTTCAAGGAATGAAAACACCAATGAGAAGCAGCTTTTGCGTGCTGTTAGTTGTCACGCTACGCTCATGAACGTTGCCACGATCTTTCAAGGAATGAAAACACTAATGAGAAGCGGCTGTTGCGCGCTGTTAGTTGTCACGCTACGTTCATGAACGTTGCCACAATCTTTCAAGGAATGAAAACACCAATGAGAAGCAGCTTTTGCGTGCTGTTAGTTGTCACGCTACGCTCATGAACGTTGCCACGATCTTTCAAGGAATGAAAACACCAATGAGAAGCAGCTTTTGCGTGCTGTTAGTTGTCACGCTACGCTCATGAACGTTGCCACGATCTTTCAAGGAATGAAAACACCAATGAGAAGCAGATGTTGCGTGGTGTTAGTTGTCACATCACGTTTGTAAACAGTCACAATCCTATTGCAGATAAAAGGCAATAAGAAGTAGCTGTGACACGGTGTCAGTTGTTACGCTTCGTGTACGTATGTTGTCACGTGTGTAGAATCTGCCTACAGCTCTATATCCTGAAGGTGCGATCCTGCTATCGGTGAGTGCAGCTACACGAAACAGCCGTTCCATTATGTGATTGTAACGTTTCGTTAAAAATTCCAGGTACGAATATTTGATATTTAAACTGGGAAACAATTAGGAATATCAAAGCTTAGAGTTTTCTTCCATTGTTGAAAGTAAAGTACAAGCTAATGTACGATTGTACCAACTTCTTGGTCCTACTGGCAGTTAGTAGCCTCGGCTTCTTCTATTTTAAACATATTCTTGAGCTATCAATATATTTAAAGATACTTCTTCCTACTACACGGCTCATCAAATGTCGACTGGGATGGAAAACTAATCACGAATGAGTATGGATTTACAAGGAAGCGTTCGTGAACTATTAGGAAACAAATAAAGAATCCGTGTGGGTATAACTCCGGGCTGAGAATCGAACACGGAACCTCCAAGATGTGAATGACTCTTATACACATAGCCATTGGCTGAGTGTGGGTAACACATGAATTAAGTCAAATCAGTTAATCAATAATTCATTTATATTTTTCATCAGTATAGTAGACCCGAAATGCAATTATTTATTGGTAGCATATTTGTAAACCCATAAATAAACGGAAAGTTAGAATGAATGCGCCCCTCCGCTTAACCATTTCGCAGGGCACTCCCGTGCTCTGTCCAGTGTGCGACTGACCTGAACACGGTATGTGCATTCACAGACGGCCAGTTTCATAACTACAAGCAACGCTGCCAAACCCTGACACCTGGTGGCACGTAAATAATTTCTCTGGCTTACTATTACTACGACAGGTGCTGCCATCCAAGTAATTTATGTTTGAATAGTCCACTGTGCTTACAGACCGTCTGTTCCAAACAGCGTCCTCATGAGATCCTAGATTTCTTAATAACAATTCACAGATGCTGTAAAAGTGACGATATCTTTTGAACATCCTACATTTGTGCCATTGTTTTGCCGTCTAGGATCTGGAAGCCCATGTTTAGAGGAAGATTTTCAGTATTTCGTCGCTTGGTACAGATGTAAAATTAAACTCCATGGGTTTAGTCCGCAAGCGAACTATGCCGACCGAGCGACTGCCGCTTGTCGCAGAAGTTAGTGCCAACTTTAGTGGATAGAGGGTGTCACGTGGTCAGTGCAACAAATCCCCACGGCCGTTAATCTCGGTTTTCTAAACCGGATATAAATGTAAATGAAACCTAATGCAGTAAATCTAATGTAGAACGCCTACTGACGACATCTAGGAATGATGATCTCCATGTAACACTACAGCATTCACTGTGTCGTGTTTTGTAATCATGTTTGGTGAGCCAAATCTGGTGAAATATATTCAAATTAACTGACTAAAGTGGACAGAGGATAACAAACAGACAACTGAGGGAGTGTTTGACACTTGGCCAGAAGTAAAACGAGGAACTGAAAGAGCAGAAGATCAGAATTCTAGGAAAGAGGAACTGAAGGAGCTCTGCATTCAATAAGGAAGTATGGAGAAAACTTCCAAACGGGGCTGTCGAGTCAGTGATAATGGTAATGATCATGATGATGGTGACTATATCGCATACTGGACAGGATACTAGGTTATATGCCAAGAATCAGTCCACATCATTACCACGTCTCTATGAGCCATTTTAATATTATCCTCCCACATACGTCTTGGTCTTCCAAGTGGTCTCCTCAGGTTTTCCGAAGCTGGAATGCAATCTTGTTGACACTCTCTCTCAACGAAACGCGATAGAGCATGCAGGTTGGGGTGTGGAAGTGAGAGGGGTAGTTTGTATGTACGTACTGCCGACTTTTGTGTTTCCAATGTCCAAATTTTCCGAGACACTCCCGACGGGTACACCTGTCGGGTTCCATTTCATGCCATGGCCATCACAGGCTGACCAGAATCGCAGAGAAGGATGCTCAGCTGTGTTCAAACTTGTTTTTCTCTGGGACAGCTTCACCTTGGAGGTTAAGTCATCTTTATTATTAACTCTGTGTCTGTCCCCTGATTCAGCTACAAGCAGCACATGCGGTCCAACATGAAGATGGATCTTAGAAGAATAGGCTGCAATGTGAGGTGGATGAAACTGGCTCAGGATCTCTTCCGGTGATGGGTTTGGCTGTTAGCGGCGTTGAATGTTCTGGTTCTGCTACCAGACAGTTAAATAAAGCTGAATCAAGTGGTAACACTTTTCATTTGCAATCGGGAGGTGCTCGCTTCGAATCTCGGCTTGGACACAGACTATCCTGAGCGAGTGTTTATGATTTTACTCAGTTCTTCCAATGAAATTTCGGGACGTTACTTTAAATCAGACCGTGATCACTTCCTTCTCAATTCTAATTCTTTATCCACGGTTATCTAACAAATCGACGTTATATGGTCTAGGTTACGACAGCGAAACAAACAACTAGACAACGGCCGTTAGTAGGCAACGGCCCGTGAAGAACAGAGAAACGGCGTTTTCATGCGGCCCGTGCCTGACAGCTAGTGACAGTCAGTTGAGTTGAGTTGGCTCGTGACGAAGTTAGAGAACTGTTGAGGTTCAGTCGTTGTGTTCTGTTGCTGTGAGAAGCGGGTAGCTGAAGCCGGGGATAGTTCGGGACCCCAGAGGAAGAGGAACGTCCGACTTTGGAAGCCGCTACCGAGCATCGGCTAGTGAAGTCGTGACTGTAGACACTATTGTGTGTGAAGCTGGTAGCAGAAGCCGAGGTTAGTTCGGGAACCCAGAGGAAGGGGAACGTCCGACTTTGGAAGCCGCTACTGAGCAACGGCTAGTGAAGTCGTGACTGTAGACACTATTGTGTGCGAAGCTGGTAGCTAAAGCCGAGGTTAGTTCGGTAACCCAGAGGAAGGGGAACGTCCGACTTTGGAAGCCGCTACTGAGCAACGGCTAGTGAAGTCGTGACTGTGGACACTATTGTGTGTGTGTGTAATAGTGACCTGTAAAATTTAGTCACGATTTATATATCAAAGAGTCCAATAAACCCGATTACCAGTCCGAAACGCAGCTGCAGTCGCACCAGAATCGCCACGATATATTTGTTGGTTTCATATTTTCGTCACATCAATTTATTATCTTAATCCACTTCTGTCGGCGTTTGTGGATATATCTTTATTACCTTTGTATATTTCGTTGCCAAAATTTTTGTCTTTCCGTTTTAACTGAACTGACAAATGAATGCAATTTGTAAGACTGTAGTTGTGAAGTCAAGGCGCCATTTTATCACACGACGCATCACGCCAGTACGAGAGCTTACTCTCACCTGCAACGGGCTCATCGCTTATCAGACGCTACTCTTCAATAATAAAATATTGTCACACGAGAGAAATTATTTCTTTTAGATCTTTAATCACATGTTTAATTCAGTCTCCAAAGTGATGTGATTGTTGTCTAGGTAAGTTCTGACAAGTGTCGGACCCTGTAGCTTATTAATGCTCTTCTGCAAGGATAGCAAATCCAGGAAGACCAGAAACAAGGATCTCTGGAAAGAACCTAACTATAAGCATATATATGTGTATACTACGTTCATATATACACATAATGTACACAGACACATGTGTTTATATATATAGAGTGCAGCTAAAAGATGCGGACAAATTGTGGACACGAATTCCACACACCGAAACATGAAAAAATGTCTATATCAGTGTCTGGAAACATTTAATTTGAGTGTTATAGTTGAAAGCACGCTGCACATGCGCGATGGTGCTCCGGAACATTACAGCCGTCCTGTGCGACATGTTCTCAGCAACACGTGCCATGACCGATGGGTAGGTAGAGGAGGACCCACTGCATGGTCTCAGCATTTGCCAGATCTGAATCCTCTGCATTTGTACCTGTGGGGACACCTATTCGAATCCTCTGTATTTGTACCTGTGGGGACACCTATTCAAATCCTCTGCATTTGTACCTGTGGGGACACCTACTCAAATCCTCTGCATTTGTACCTGTGGGGACACCTATTCAAATCCTCTGCATTTGTACCTGTGGGGACACCTATTCAAATCCTCTGCATTTTTACCTGGAGGGACACCTATTCGAATCCTCTGCATTTTTACCTGTGGGGACACCTAAAATCCTTTGTGTATGCAGCTTCTGTTGAAGACAAGAGACACTGTCGCACTGTGGATGCCTGTCAGACTATCCGCAATTACCCTAGCGGCCTAAGGCATGAACCTTGTTCGCCCACCCAAGCACTGGGATCGTGGGTTCGAATACCACTTGACGCATATACGTGTATATCTGTCTGCGTTTATTCTGTGTCTGTGTTGTCCTGTGTGTAGGTAGCGGCCTTGTGACAGCCTGATCCCCCATCCAAGGAGACCTACCGACTGTGTAAAAGATCAAGAAAGTGAAAAAGCGATCAAGGTAGAACCACAGCTAGATAGACAGTAATTTGGCAAAATTTATTTGTTCATAATCTCGTAGTGTGCTTCGCAAATGGGCTACACTAGGCCATTCGGTTCCTGGAACATACTCACAATCCAATCATAACATTCAGTATTAGAAAGAAAATGAAGAATACATTGAACTGAATATGTTTAAGGAAGCTCTAAAAAATCAGCGTTGTGAAAATAACAGCTGACGGCAGATCGGCAGTAGTAGTACCGCCTACAGAGATGCCCGTACTACGCTCTGTCGGCGCACTGTGTTACCACAATCTCACGCAGGACAGAATTAATTTTATTGTAAAGAGAGTCAATGCCAAGTACACGAAACACAAGCAAGCAATTCAGAGCGGAGTGGTTTCGTTATGAGTAAGATCATTGAAGTTCGGTTTGCGTAGAATTTTTAAGTCGAAAATAACCAACTCAGTTGATAAATCCCCCCAAAGGTGTCTCCACCTTGTCGTGGTTGTGGGGCTTGCGTGAGTTTGTGACCTGGAGAGCTATGCCGGCGGTAGTTTAACTACCAGTAGGGTCACCAAGGTCGGAAAGGTCAGAGGGTAGAGTCCAGACTAAGAGAGATACCCTGGTCCTCCAGGTTGGGGGTTGGGCATGAGGCTAACAACCTCATCCTGTAACAGAAAGCTAACAACTAGCCTCGGGTCATCATGCGTGGGTCCATTCCTATGGCAGCACGCACTGCTTGTGGAGACTGGTTGTAGAGGAGGCCAAGGCTCAGCCAGGGCTGTAGCGCCAAGTGGTAGGTGGTAGCCAGTTGACAAACATAATCATTTCGCAACAACCGAATGTTTATGGTGCTGTCATGACAGACTCCATAGCTGAACCCTCAACTGAACTCCTGTCCTCTCTGGCTAAACAGAACATGGTCGGTCGAGTCATATAGCCTCGGAGCGGAGCTACAGAAAACACAGCCTGCATAACCTCTTCTATTGTTATGTGATGTTACCGCGCATGCGTAAAGTGCGGGCGCTCCATAGCAACGGCCGGACGCGTCACGTATCGTGACATCTCCTCTATTGTTGCGTGCAGGGTTTACCTAGCAACGGCTGGTATTTACATAGTCACCTCCCAGCAACGGATCTATACTCCACAATAATTTTATTTGCATGGGGAGAAACCGGGATAGTCCGTGTCAAGGCTAAGGCTGAAGCTCGGACCATCACGACCCGCTAACCTCGATGTCTGGTATCACCGCACTCCACTGGTGTGACCCTAAGAAGCCAGCCGCCCAACGCGTCTCTGCTACGCCGGCCATGCATTTCAACAAGCCTATAGTAGGCCCTATGTATTCCCTTTTCATCTTGCGGGGTTGTGTAAGGCAAGGAAACGTTTGGTTCGTGATGATCTGTACACGTGCATGCATCCAATAATTCAGTTTAATGAGTGTGAAACTGTGCCGCGCCATAGCTCAAGCGGTTAGTTGCTGACTTCCCACCGCAGCGGCCCGGGTTAGATCCCGGGTCTGGTCAAGTGGAATTTTCCGTGGACAAGTGGCACTGGGGCAGGGTTTCTCGAGTACTTCGGTTTCTCCTGCCAATCTTCATTCCACCAACTGCTCCACAATCACCCTCATCTGTCTGGGGCTGGTACAGTAGGCAGTACCAAGTGGACTCAGTCTCACCCCACTAAGGATAACAGAAAAATACAAAAAAATATATCGAAGTACTTTTTACCTGTTATCTGCTCCCCAATAGTTCGCTGCGCCATCTGCAACAGAACAAAAATATTAAATTCAGGCCCGTTTCTGTAAAACAAGTGAAATAACAATGTAATACAGAAATAAGTGGAGGGAGGTAAAATTACACTGAAGTCAGGACATGGAAGCCAGAAATCCCCTGAGATGAAGATCCTGTGTGGTTCAGCAAAGGTTTACAGACCGTCAGTCTTCAGAGTCGAGCAGTGAGCGGGGGGCTAGGGGCTGGGGGCCGTGCCATAGCTCAAGCAATTAGTCGCTGCCTTCCCACCGCCAAGGTCAGGTCATGTGGGATTTGTGGTGAACAAAGTGACACTGGGGTGGGTTTTCTCAAAGTACTTCGGTTTCCCCTGCCAATCTTCATTCCACCAACTGCTCCACAATCGCCCTCACCTATCATTCTCACTGAATCACATGATCCAAATATCACGGCACCATAGTGCACAGCCAGACTTTCAGCTCCACTGAATTACACTCAGTAACTGTGATGCCTCAACTCCTCCGCTCCCAAATTCATATCCCTGCAGGCTGGCGTCTCAGTTGCCAGCTCTTCTCAATCATCTTCGGCTGCCGTCACAAGAGACTCTCAATTCTAATCCTAGCTGGTCTGTAATCCTCGGGGCTTGAGAATGTAAGTAGTCAACATGACGATGTAAATGCAAGTAGTTACTATAGGATTCTGACGATGGTGTATAACACACAGAGATATTGGGTTTTCGGACTCTATCCATCGTCCTGGTTTTTAAGATAACTAAGAAGAACACGACGTTTCGGAAACTGGATCTGTTTCCGTCCTCAGGTGAGGGAAAACGCCTATTCTGTTGGGTCCCTTAGAAAGAGCTAGCCTCAATCACTGGTCTGGTTTCCGAAACGTCGTGCTTTTCTTAGTTATCTTAAAAACCAGGACGATGGATAAAGTCCGAAAACCCAATATCTTTGGATGTAAATGCAATTTGCTGTGTAGCACAACCGCAAGGTCTTTTGCACAATCGGTTCATACGGTTAATGCGTCACACAAAAATAATTAAAATGGATACTGTTCCTTTTACCAACGAAATAAGTCATATTTGTTTTGAATATGTTAATGTTCATATAGTTTCCAGTGCGCCACTTCTGTACAGAGTCTGTATCGGATTGTAGTCATTTACAATCGTCAGAAGGTTTTATGATACGAAATATTTTTAAGTCATCAGCAAAGAGCAGAAATTCGGGAAAACGAATTTTGACGCATAAATCACCAATCAAATTGTCGAGCAATAGAGGTCCCAAAATGGAGCCTTGTGACTCTCGTGCGGGAGACTTTCCTAAAGCGCAAACAACTGATAATCTAGATGATAAGTAACTTCGGGACAAATTTGGATCGGATAGTCCAAAATTACTGAGTTTATGTAGCAAAAGGTATGCTGATGTCAAAATTGAAACGTTTGGCATCGTGAACTGACAGAACACAAGTAAGAGTGTAAGTAAGTAAGTAAGTAAGTAAGTAAATTAGTTGCAGTACACTTCGATTGAATAAAATCATGCTGAAATATGTCAAGTTCAAATTTGAAATAAAATGAGAGCCCGTCATGCATCATATTCTCAAAAATGTTGGAAAAATTGTTTAAAATTGTGATTGGTCTGTAACTAGTAATTAGAGCATTGTTACTTTTCTTGCAAAGAGACAGGACGCCCGCTTGCTTCCACAGAATGGGAAACTGTATTAAAATGTTACTCTAAATGTTGGCAAAACTGTCAGAGCAGCCTTTAATGATGAATCTGTGGAGTTTACCTCTGCCGACACACTTCGACGGGCTGAGGCGTCCAATTGCCAACTTAACGTCACAGTCAGAAATCGAAGGAGAGTCTAAAAAATTGGAGAAAGCAAAACTAACATTGTTTCGAATAATAATAATTCAATTCAATTCAATTCATGTTTATTTACGTGCAATAACTTAACAGCACAGTGGCCAATTACAAAGTAAGCACGAGTATATATAGATACAGAAAAATAATCAAAAACACAATACAAATATGACAGAAATAAATCAGTGAGCATAAATCTAAAGAAGACTTAAATATATACATACATTTATGAATTATGAATTATTATGAATGTTGCTAATATTATCAGCAACTAGATACTAAGATAAGACAACTGGGAGTTATAAAATTAATAACAAGTCAATAAATTAAAAAATTACATAAGAAAATTAAAGAAAATTAAAGTTAGCCGAGGTATACACATTTGTAGTTAATGAGAACACTAATCCAGTAACACTGTAAAAGGTTTGGTACATGCTTGTAAAATATGATTCAGAGAAACCGCTCCGTGTGCAAATATGTCGAGATCTTTACCCACCATGTTGGTAGCAAGGGCGCACCGAGAAGAGGGACAGTGTCTTTTTGAGAGACGAACGCTGAAAGTAGAGGTCTCGAACATGGCAAGTAGGAACACGAAGACTAGCATTATCCAGAAGGGAGGAGCAGGATTTACGGCCACGATAAACCTGAATGAAGAAGAATGCATCAAGAAGATGTCTACGCAGACTTAGAGGGTGCAATCTTAGTCTCTCTAAGGCAGATGTATAACTATAGGAGCTATGTGGGAAGTAGCGATAGAAACAGACAGATGCAAACTTTTTCTGGATGCACTCAAGTTTTGCGGAGTCAGTAGACGTGATAGAATTCCAATAGGCATTTCTATTACCCACTGTCACGGACCTCATTTCTGTCATGGTGGCATTTACAATATGTTGCTGGCCCCATGTATACATATGTTGCTGGATTCAATTAATTTCCGTCGCGCACTGTGGCCCTTCACGCAATGAAACGCCTCGTGAGTGCGTTCATCCCAGGATAGCAGCGTGACTAACTCACAGTGAAGTGCAGCTCCTCCCAAAGCAGGGGAAACAGCTTCGCATTTAGTGCTCAGGTGTAGAGACGCTACTGCGTCCGGTTCAAGGAAGGTTGTTCGCAAACATTCTGCGTTACGCCCAAATATTTGTGTGTTTTTCAAATGAATACATAAAATTAAGGATGACGAAAGAGCCCGTGTATCCGAAGATTTCAGTTATGAAACTACTGAAAAGATTTCCATGGAATTTTCGCAATGATTCGGTGTTACATAGATCCGTGCCTCTATGAATGTCAAAGAGCCTACAAGGTAGATGTGATTAATGTTATCGGTCTGGCCCAGTGACAGAAACATCGCCTTTATAGGCCCGTACCCATCGCTGCTGCAGCACGTAGAATATAAAAGCGTCGGTCTGTCCATCCATCTATGAGATCTATTCGTGGTCATTAGAGAGAACAGATGGGTCTGCGGTTTCCGAAACGTCCGCCGGCAGAAGGGAACATTGTATTTATCAAGAGGGATAAAATGCCGAGCCTAGGGATACAACCCGTTTGTTAACACGTTCTTGTCAACATAAAATGAGTCCATAGTTAACAGAAATAATATGATATTGTGTAAAATGCGAACATTTAAATAGGAACTCAAATTTGTCACTCATACCCTAAATATATAGAATTGGGTGGGGAAGGAGGAGGGGTTAAATTAATGTGGTCGTGGCACCAATTGATGAGACCATCACGGGCCGCCACTGATTAGATGAAATATAATTTGGCGATACGAGTGATAAGCTAAGGCAGACGAGGGAAGACACTCACTGTTTCACACACAACAGAAGGGACATTGAAGAGCCGTTCAGAGTTTCCCCGTGCTCTGAAATGCCGGGAAGAAACCCTGACTCATATTTCCACTTAATTGTTTAACTCCTTGTAAAGATAATAACAACAAAAACAAATAAATTCCGTGGCTTTAGTCCGGAAGCGAACTGTACCGAGCGAGCGACCGTCTCTTGTCGGCGAAGTTAGTGTCAGGAAAGTAAAAATAAATAATTTCATAATTTATTTCTCGGCGTTATGAAGACACGAATGGATGTATCTACATTTACAGTGAGGACATGAACGTAAGATCACCGAGAAACACAATTTCCTGAGACACACACCTGACATTTACTGTGCGTGTATCCCCATGCAGTAGCTACAGTTTCCAGTCTTGTCTAATTGGCTTGAAGATTAATCACGTGACAGTGTTGCTCGCCACTGCGGCGCCGAGCGGCCTAATCTTTCCTCAGCCACCTGTCGTTCCTAGAGGCGTCGCAACGTCTGCGACAACGCAGGCGTCGAAATAGCAAGTCGACTGAAGAGTTATGTGACAGATTGTTGGCGAGGGCGCCCTGAGAAACTATTTATACAGCTTCCATGGTCCTGGTGTGTATGTCATCTCTCCGAAAGACTGATCTATGTTGTTTTTTTTTCCATTCCAGTTTATTTCAGGAGTTCGCGAAAAATGCGCACGGGTAACGCAATAAAGCGATCTACATATCTCAGTTAACGCATCATCTCTGAATTAGCTGCGGACTATATTTACCGTTTCTTTCAACTGATGGCATTTTGCATGCAATGGGATATTACGGGAATTAGTATGCCGCAACAGGTGCACGCCGGTAAACAGTGTGCGGTTCCTCCACATTCATTCAGTACGACGGGAGTTGACATCGTATCCCGACAGGAGCGCTTTCCGAAAGTCTTCTTCGCCAATTTACATACCCCATGGGCTTTGACGTCCATTCACTATAGACGCAAGTATCTTATATCAAACATAATCAGACTGAGATATTGGGTTTTCGGACTTTATCCATCGTCCTGGTTTTAAGAAAACTAAGAAAAACACGACGTTTCGGAAATTTGATCTGTTTCCGTCCTCAGGTGAGGGAAAACATCTATTCTGTTGGGTCCCTTAGAAAGAGCTAGCCTCAATCACTGGACCAACGTCGTGTTTTTCTTAGTTATCTTAAAAACCAGGACGATGGATAAAGTCCGAAAACCCAATATCTCTCTGTGTTATACACCATCGTCAGAATCCTACAGTAATAATCAGACTTACATCACGCTCAGTAACTATAGAATCTATTTCGCTATATTCGCTAAATATGTATCGTATCAGGAAATGTTTCCATTCAAATTT